TCCCACTGCACCCATAACTGCACCACAAATGGAGCTCCCACTGCACCCATAACTGCACCACAAATAAAACTCCCACTGTATCCATAACTGTGCCACAAATGGAGCTCCCACTGTGCCCCTAACTGCACCACAAATGGAGCTCCCACTGCACCCATAATTGCACCACAAATGGAGCTCCCACTGCACCCATAACTGCACCACAAATGGAGCTCTCACTGCGCCCATAACTGCACCACAAATGGAGCTCCCACTGCACCCATAACTGCACCACAAATGGAGCTCTCAGTGCACCCATAACTGCACCACAAATGGAGCTCCCACTGCACCCATAACTGCACCACAAATGGAGCTCTCAGTGCACCCATAACTGCACCACAAATGGAGCTCTCACTGCACCCATAACTGCACCACAAATAAAACTCCCACTGTGCTCTTAACTTAACAAATGGAGCTCCCACGGTGTTCATAATTGTGACACAAATTGAGTTCCCACTGCGCTAACTGCGCCACAAATTGAACTACCACTGTGTTCATAACTTCACCATAAATCGAGCTTCCACTTTGCTCATAACTGCGTCACAAATTGAGCTTCCACTGCCTGCACCCATAACTGCGCCACAAATTGAGCTCCCACTGTGTCCATAACTGCTTTACAAATCAAGCTCCCAATTCCTCCCAATGCGTCCATAACTGTGCCAAAAATCCAGCTCCCACTGCATCCATAACTGCACCTCAAATTGAGCTCCCACTGTATCCATAACTGCATCACAAACAATGCTTCCACTGCACCTATACATGCGTCACAAACTGAGCTCCCACTGCGTCCATAACTGCATCACGAACCGTGCTCCCACTGCACCTATACATGCGTCACAGATTGAGCTTCCACTGCGTCCATAACTTCATCAAGAATCAAGCTCCCAGTGATTTCTGGCAGGAACATTTAAAGGGAACCTGCAAAGAAATGAAGGCTGCCATTGCTAAATGTCATTGGCCAATTGCCCTGCCTATTTTACCACTTTTGAAGCCATCCTGGTAAGCCAACTTTTCTCTACTGCTCTTCGCTTACTGCATGCTTGTTTTGAGTCTTGGACCCAGAAGTACTGAAGCTGGACATCAAGTACATACTGTAAGTGTTATCTGAGGAAGCCCAATAATGGCAGTCACCATGTAAGGTGCCCGACTCCAAAACCACCCTCCCATAGATCTACAGCAGGTTTCAAAGCTGAATGGGGCTTCCTGGTGATATGGGGTCCAGGACCTGATTTGCTGAGCCTGTGCAGCCTCCTGGAACGCTGTCACTTTTCTTTCCTTCAGTGTCAACTCTCCCTATCATAGTGATGGGCGAGGCACCCTGGAATGGGTTTACCCCAAGGGAAGGGTTCAAGCCTTGGAGAGAGACAAAAGCTTGGCCAAAGGATGACTTTCAATAGATCGCAGTGAAGTAGCTGCTCTGCTAAGCAAGAAACCCTGACCCAAAATCAGGTCGTCTACGAATTATTTAGCACCATATTCCCAACAAACATGCAATGTGCTCTGGTAGGGGTGGCCAGCTTCTGTTTGCGCTCCATCCTGAGCCTTGGAGAGAGACAAAAGCTTGGCCAAGGGATGACTTTCTTCTATAGATCGCAGTGAGGTAGCTGCTCTGCTAAGCAAGAAACCCTGACCCAAAATCAGGTCGTCTATGAATTATTTAGCACCATATTCCCAACAAAAACACAAAGCGCTCTGGTAGAGGTGGCCAGCTTCTGTTTGCGCTCCAGTCCTGAGCTGAGTGGCGCTACTGTGACCTGCAAAGGGTTAGAGGAGCCAGCTATCTCAGGCCAACCTGGGCTCCACTGCACTGTGCAATCATCACATGTAGGGGGAATTCTGACCATGGCAGGTATTCTTTACCATGACATGGATTAAGTATCCCCATCATGACATTAGTACCCTATAGGGAAGCAGAATCCTTCATTATAATCTATGCTGCCTTGGACCAGTTAATAGAGCAGATTGGCTCACTTATGTCCACCAGGCCAACTTGCCCCAGACAGCCCTACAGTGCAACTACTGACCTTAACAACACACCCTATCCTCACCTCCGCATTGGAAGGTTAGTCTGACCATCACTCCAATGGATAAACAGCATGGTGTGGGAAGGGCCAGACTCAAATGTGACCTCACTGTAGAAGCAAGACAGAGTGGTCAGAATTCCAAAAAGTATACAGGGGCGCCGCCTTATAGGTTTCTTTCTAACTATAGACAGTAATCCTTTAAAAAAAAAAGTACTTGCAGATTAGAACATTTTCATTAACCTGATCCAATTTCGAAATACATGAAAAAAAACGGTGGAGAATAAATGATAAGCCGTTGTCGGCCGGCGTACAGTAAGAAGCGCCGCCGTTGGATCAGATATCACAGCGATTCCCTGTCAAGGTCTATTTTTCTTCTTATATTGTTGCTAAATTTGCCAGATTTGTCAAGCAGTAAATGAGATTCAGATAACGTGTTTCCTAAATGAAATGTCACGGAGATGAAATAAATATCGTTAAATGTCTTTAAAGGACGAGCGACGGCGGCATAAAAGATACACGTTGACTGAATCGGCCTCAACATCCTCTGAATGGCAGAAATGGGAACACTGACATTTAATGAAATTTAAACAACTTTCTCTGTAGGCCCGATCATCATTCTGTCTAGCCGGGAAAAAAAAAAAGAAAAGAACCCGTTATTGTGGTTGGCAAGCTGTGCCACTCATATCGGCATTTGTCATCTGCCAAGCTTGGTTGTTTTTTGATTGGCTGATATTCTGGGACAATTTCCTGTTCCAACACCGCCCTCTCTCTAAGACTCCTCCTTCAACCCCACCTATGCTTAGTGGAACAGAGCACCAAGAAAAGCCTGCTGAATTTTCCTGCCTTTTTATGAGATGGTATAACCAGACAAGGCAGGGTGATCTGGGCTAAATGAAACCCAAAATCCCATCACTGATCCATTGCAGAGCACAGTAAAGTCTTCTATAATGGCAGGTATCCACATGTCACACATTACACAAACAGGGGTGGACTGACAACTCATGGGGCCCCCAGGCACTAGGGGATCATGGTCCACTGTTGTCACTATCACGAAACTTGCCCTAAGAAAATGCCATGTAGCCATTGCTGGAGCGCATGTAGACAGGAAGTGGTTGCAAAGAGGCTGCAGAACATACCCAGCACTACAACAAACGATTAAAAAAAGTGAAAGGTATTTTTATGGAAGAAAAATTACAATTGTTTAGCAGACTAAATGTTCTTTAGTAAGGGGTTATATATCTACAGTATTTTAACTCACAAAGGATTGGCGGTTGGGCTTAGTTCCAGAAAGCAGACCAGAAGGTGTCATAAAGGCAATGGGCCCTCAGAACTGAAGACTTTAAAGGCATTGTCATACTCTGGCAGTGCTTTTTTGAAGTCAAAAAGTTCAGTTCTAGACAATACAAAGGCCTTGCCGGTTTATAAACTGACGCATTTCCCGTGATACAGTATAACAGGGGCGGACTGACAACTCATGGGGCCCCCGGGCAATAGGGGATCATGGGGCCCCTGTGTCCTTGCCCAAACTCAAAAAAGCCTATGAAAAAGGTACCAGGGGCATCTCAAGGGGCCCCCTACTGACCCCGGGCCCTCGGTCAGTGCCCGAGTTTCCAAATGGTCAGTCCGCCCCTGTACACAACTGTTCCAGGCTTGTTGGTCACCATCAGTACAGTGCATGGAAACAGTAGAGTAGCACTTGAAGACATAGCTCTAGCCAAAGTAAGGAAAGATCTCCCCAAATGGATCAAAGAGAGCAATAGAGAGTGAGTCTCTGCCCAATCCTACTGCCACTCAAACCTGGATATAAAAACTGTTTTAACTGCTTTAAATCATTAGCACAAGGGTGAGGTTGTCCAGTGTCCAGGGCGAGGAGCTGCACCTTCTCCCCTGCTAACACACCACCATGCACCCGTTCCTTACCCTCTGTGTTTGGGCTGCCCATGGAGTGAGCATTGCGCATGCATGGATAATTGCTCGCTTTCCAACAGCTGGAAGGCTGTTGCTCATGTAGTGTTGGCTTGGTGGCTGGGGCATGGTGTGACAGTAGTAGCAGTCAAATCAGACATGAAGCCACAGCCCACAACACCCTCTTCCCCCTTGCATGTGGAGCTGCACCCAGGGCAGGGCGGCTGTCCCTCTTGCCCCCTCCTTGTCCCAGCCCTTCTCAGTATGAAAATGTGCACCAGTATTCAATAATTAGACATACACTATTTTGCCAAAAGTATTGGGCCAGCCCTTCAAATCATTGGATCTGATGAACATGTCAGGGTTTGGCGGTTGCCAGAAGAACGGTACTTGCTTTGCTGCATTGTGCCAAGTGTAAAGTTTGCTGGAGGGGGGATTATGGTGTGGGGTTGTTTTTCAGGGGTTGGGCTTGGCCCCCTAGTTTCAGTGAAGAGAACTCTTAAGGCGTCAGCATACCAAGACAATATGTACAATTTCATGCTCCCAACTTTGTGGGGACAGTTTGGGGATGGCCCCTTCCTGTTCCAGCATGACTGCGCACCAGTGCACAAAGCAAGGTCCATAAAGACCTGGAGGAGCAAGTTTGGGGTGGAGGAACTTGACTGGCCTGAGTCCTGACCTCAACCCCATAGAACACCTTTGGGATGAATTAGAGCGGAGACTGCGAGCCAGGCCTCCTCCCCCGACATCAGTGCCTGACCTGACAAATGTGCTTCTGGAAGAATGGTCCAACCTTCCCATAGACACCCTCATAAACCTTGTGGACGGCCTTCCCAGAAGAGTTGAAGCTGTTATAGCTGCAAAGGGCGGGCCAACCAATATTGAACCCTACGGACTAAGACTGGGGGGCCATTAAAGATCATGTGCGTGGAAAGGCAGGCGGCCCAATACTTTTGGCAATATAATGTATGATAGGATTTGGTGTACCCTTATCAGAGTAACTGACTCCCTTAGACACTAGCAATGTGTTCTTACTTGTTATAAAGGACAATGTCCGGCCTCCAGATCAGCTCTGATGGGATCCGTATTGAGGTCACATTCTCGTATTCCAGAGGGTCCCAACGCAGCTTGTAATCATGCCATTCCTATAAGACAGGGCGGTGACAAAAGATCAGATGATAAGATTATGTCATTGCTAGTCAAAGCCTCCAGCTATGAAAATTCTACAACATGTCCCCAGCTCAGTGAGCATTTCCAAAAATACGAAGCTGACCCAATCTTGGATAACTACAGCACCTTGCTACAAAGAATGAAAGGAACAGGGACCATAGGGATGTCATTATAGGGTCCTCTGTTAGAGCATTTCTAAATGCTTGGTTTTACTGAAATAATCCCAGGTGACCCTTCCATAAAGGTCCTGTTTCAGACATTTCTGGTATAGAGTGACAACACTCTTTCAATTGTGCGCCTATGTTGTCACCATGCCATACGGGATTCCAACTGTACGCCCCTTGAGGGTTAGGTACCTTAGATTGTACTCCCCTTGAGGGTTAGGGACCTTAGATTGTACGCCCCTTGAGGGTTAGGGACCTTAGATTGTACGCCCCTTGAGGGTTAGGGTCCTTAGATTGCACGCCCCTTGAGGGTTAGGGACCTTAGATTGTACGCCCCTTGAGGGTTAGGGACCTTAGATTGTACGCCCCTTGAGGGTTAGGGACCTTAGATTGTACGCCCCTTGAGGGTTAGGGACCTTAGATTGTACGCCCCTTGAGGGTTAGGGTCCTTAGATTGCACGCCCCTTGAGGGTTAGGGACCTTAGATTGTACGCCCCTTGAGGGTTGGGGACCTTAGATTGTACGCCCCTTGAGGGTTGGGAACCTTAGATTGTACGCCCCTTGAGGGTTGGGGACCTTACATTGTACGCCCCTTGAGGGTTAGGGACCTTACATTGTACGCCCCTTGAGGGTTAGGGACCTTAGATTGTACGCCTCTTGAGGGTTATGGCCCTTAGATTGTACGCCTCTTGAGGGTTAGGGACCTTAGATTGTACGTCCCTTGAGGGTTAGGGACCTTAGATTGTACGCCCCTTGAGAGTTAGGGACCTTAGATTGTACGCCCCTTGAGGGTTAGGGACCTTACATTGTACGCCCCTTGAGGGTTAGGGACCTTACATTGTACGCCCCTTGAGGGTTAGGGACCTTACATTGTACGCCCCTTGAGAGTTAGGGACCTTAGATTGTACGCCTCTTGAGGGTTAGGGACCTTATATTGTACGCCCCTTGAGGGTTAGGGACCTTAGATTGTACACCCCTTGAGGGTTAGGGACCTTAGATTGTATGCCCCTTGAGGGTTAGGGACCTTAGATTGTACGCCCCTTGAGGGTTAGGGACCTTAGATTGTACGCCCCTTGAGGGTTAGGGACCTTAGATTGTACGCCCCTTGAGGGTTAGGGACCTTAGATTGTACACCCTTGAGGGTTAGGGACTGATGTGAATGTACAATATATATGTAAAGTGCTGCGTTAATTGATGGTGCTATATAAGTACCTGAAATAAATAAAATAAAAGGAAAGCAAAGAAGAAGCTGTTTGACTTCAGACTGTCTCTCTGAATTCCCTGAAGTTGCTCTGCATTGCTTCATCATTCTCATTGACTTGTATTTAGAGAGCAGCAGTCCAGATGCAATCAAGCACCCGAGTATAGAAATCCTATGAGCCAAGTCACTAGTGATCCTGAAATGACTACCCTGCTCCTATGGTACTGCTCCCTCACTGGGTAATCTCACCCACCAGCAGGATTGGCGATGGAACAACACCTCGGTTGGTTTTTACTCCTTGGGAGCAGGCGAGCGTTCCCTTAGTAATCCTTTGCAGTTGCATGTTATTTCAAGTGATCATGCGACTCACCTGTTTCACCCACACGTTCGTGGTCATCATCTGATTTTTCTCATCCTACAAAAAGACAAAAAAAAAAAAAAAAAAGTCAAAAAAAGAATCAGTGTGGATATTTTTTGTTAGTAGGGCTTGTCAATTGGGAGCTTGGCTCAGGTTTTTGAGTTCTAACAAGCACTCCTAGACTGCTGGGCTCTAAAGCATTTAATGAAACAGACCGGTTGGCTAACATTTTCAGGGCATAAATGTGTTGCTTCAACCTAAATGCAGCTTGGAACACTCAGTCCACGCCTACTATGGATCTAAAGTGCTTCCCATGGTAGGCCCTTCCTCTGCTATATATTCTGCATTAGCCACGTGTGTGTACAGACAGGGGCGTATGTACCACAAGGCAAACAAGGCATTTGCCTAGGGCGGCATTTTTCAGGGGGGCAGCACATCCCCCCAGAAAGAGGGATGGAAGAAGGGAAACGCACATCATGGGAACCAGGTGGGATCTGAGAGAGGCTTTGGGCTGCTTGATGATGTATGTAGAGCCTGACTCTCATTCCTGGGGATGTCCGGAGCTGTGAAGATGGGTGTCTTTCTCTATCGCTGGGAAGTGGGGGGGGGGGGGTAGTTGAAGGTTCTCCCAGGTGGGGGGCAGGGGTGTTGTTGGTCAAAGTCAGGCCCTCTCCATGGGAGCAGGAAGGTGGGGTAGTTGGTCTTGTCTGCGGGGGGCAGACGATTTCTCTATTGCCTAGGGCAGCACAAAACTGAAATACACAACTGTGTAAAGAGCATTGAAAACTACCTGAACTCTGGAAGCTATGCCCAAAAAAAACATAGAAGAAAGACAAATGGCTAATCACCAATAATGGCATGGAGGTGGCCATCTTGGTAGAGGCAGGGCTTTGCTTCCCTATGTCAGAGCCTCCAGCAACGAGAACAGTAAGCAGCACAGTAGTGACATAAACCAAATCTTCAGAGACTAGCAGTCGGAGACAGCACTATCCTACATCTCACACTGTAGACATCTATCAATGATGCCTAGCAGGGCTGGATCTAGCCAGTATGATATGGGGGTGCAGTAAAAAATGTCAGGGGGCCGAGGATATGAGGTCAGCAGGGCAGTGTACAAAAACAAGAATCAATAGCAGAGTGTACTGGGAGTCAACAGGTCAGAGGATAGGGATTAGCAGAACAGAGGGCAGGGAGCAGCAGTTTGTACAGCAGTGTACTTCTGCACAACCAGCCAGAAAAGCACCCCCTTAGATCCGGCCATGATGCCTAGGCACAAAACTGCACATAACAGGAAGTGCCCCACTACTTTTTAAAAGGATTTTGAGATAAAAAATTTTTTTTTTAGGATACAGCGTAGGTACAATTGCCATTTCTAGAAGTTCCCTACAACATAGCAAATCCTCACTCTTTGAGTTAGTTCCACTTCATGAATCTGCAGCAACTGATCACTCTGTACCCACTGGGTGACAACACGTGGGAACTTTGTCACCTGGGATTAGCACTCTGTCTGTTCTTGCAGCCCTTCACCATTCCAAAGTCATGATGTTTCCCCAGAACCTCCTGAAACAGCCTTGAGCTGGTGACCCGAAGTTTACAGCCTCAAAATGCACTAAACACTATTCTGAAAAAGGGGGATTTAAGGGTGTTCAAAGCACACAAGGAAAACTATGAATTTTTTTTACATGCCAAAAGGAATGGCAGGTTCGTTTTCACCAGTCTTGTGATGCAGGCAGATCTATGACCTCACATTTCTCTGCTATGCCTAAGCCATGCAGCCTGGTCCAGGATCCTCCCCGGCCTGTGATTGGACAGTGAGGGGACAGCACAGTATTGATGAGTGTGATGGGAGTCACTTTGGGTGGGGGGCCCATGGAACCCAGCTTACTTTGGAGAGGTGGGGAGACCCCTGTCTCAGCTCCCCATATCCCTATTATGTGTAAGTCACCCTGTGCCTGTTAGGGGTACAGGGTGATCTGTCCAAATATTGGGGTGGGGGGTTGTTGATTGTTTAATGTCATGTGGATGCATCCCATTGTTGTATTGTGTGTCTGGCTTGGAAGCAAACTATTATGGGATGCATGCAGGGGCGGACTGACCATTTAAAAACTTGGGCACTGCCCGAGGGCCCGGGGTCAGTAGGGGGCCCCATGAGATGCCCCGGTACCTTTTTCATAGGCTTTTTTGAGTGTGGGCAAGGACACAGGGGCCCAATGATCCCCTATTGCCCGGGGGCCCCATGAGTTGTCAGTCCGCCCCTGGATGTAGGTGTTTATGTGTATTAGCTTAGTAGGGGGGGGGGGGGGTCCTCCAGCAGCCCTCCCTTCTGATGGGACTGTCTGCTGGTGAGAAGCTGGAATACCTGTGTGTCTCTTGTTACTAAATGTAGATTGCCCCGCCCTCTGTCATTATGCAGGGAGGGGGGATTGTCCCCTGAGTGTATATATCTTGTATCTGTGTTCAAATAAATTAGTCTACCTCCTGGTTTACTTCAAGACTGGTGTTGTCTAGTCTTGTATGGCCGGCTGTGGTGTCCGTAGTCGGTGTTCGGACGGGGAAGCGGTATTCTAACGGAAGTACTGAAGCTCAGTTTTGGTCGGTTCCGTTACAATGAGGTCATCCCTCTGCTCTCCCCACCTTTATGCATGCTCAGACGGGGCTGTACAAAGCCGGAAGGTAAGTAGGAGTCTGACATCAAGGGAGATTCAGGTACTTATACTAGCTATATGTAAATATACTGTACAATTCATTATTTTCTAATGAATGCATTGACTAATTAAGCAGTTTTTGTTTCTTTTTTTAATTCTGGCCTGAAACAAAATGACAGGTGCATTTAAATCTTGGCATGCTGGGAATATGATCCTAGCTGGTCAGCCGCAGGCAGTTCAGAGCAAATAGAAACATATTTCTGCGGACTGTGGAGATTCTGAACCATCATCAGCGAGACTCATTGAGCGAGGCCCCCCCTCCTCCACTCCCCCCCACTCATCTCCGCCAGCAAGTCTCTCTATAGATCTCATGCCCACCCCGGCCTGGTGCCATCCTCCCCTCCCTACCACGGCACCACCTGCTACATAAACACTTGGAGCATACAGCAGCTGCCGCGCCAGGATAACACGCGGCGTACGACAATGCTGAGCCCAATCTCTATGTGCCAAGGCCACCCAAAAATAATTGATCATCCGGAAGAGCTGTATAATGGAGAGTGAGAGCGAGAGTGACGGCGATAACACCATTAGCAACTCATCTCTAGCGCTGTAAATAATTGAGACGATTTGCCACCACTAAACACCGACATTATGGTTTGAACACAAAAAAGGGGGAGGGGCAAACAGTTCTGGTTGCTATGACATCGCAGTGTAAAGGTGCAGTTGCAGTATTTGTGTGTCCATACACAGCAGATAGAAGATATCTGTGAACAATGTGAGTGCTACACTCTTTCATTACACATGTGTACACAGTGTAGGGGTCAACCAGAAAGTGATCACTTCCAAGAATCGGGAAGTATTCTTTGACCAATAACCAACTGTCCGCTCAGAAGTCCTCAACTACATCTCTCTGTCTAGATCTCTCCATCCCTCTCCATATCTCGCAGTCTATTTATCTCCATCTCTATCTCTCCATACCCCGGTAGATCTTTCAATCCCTCTCCCTCTATATCTCTCCATTCCACCTTGGTCTATACCTCTCCATCCCTCTCTATATCTCTCCACCTTTAGCTCTCCAACTTTATTCCTCCATCCCTCTCCATTTATATTTATCCATCCCTTTCTCCATCTATATCTCTCCATCTCTCTCTCCATTAGTATTTCTCTATCTATATCTCTACAACGTTTCCACCAGCCACATCCTTCCATCCCTCTCTCCATCTATAGCTCTCCATCCCTCTTTCCATCTATATCTCTCCATCCCTCTTTCCATCTATATCTCTCCATCTCTCTCTCCATTAGTATTTCTCTATCTATATCTCTACAACATTTCCTCCAGCTACATCCTTCCATCCCTCTCTCCATCTATATCTATCCATCCCTCTCTTCATCAAAATCTCCTTATAACTCTTTATATATCTTCATCCTTCTCCATCTATATCTTTCAATTGCACCTCATTCTAGATCTCCCCTTCCCTCACTCCATCCATATCTCTCCATCCCACTCAATATCTCTCCATCTATAGTTTACTATACTTTTCAATATTTCTCTGTCTATATTTCTCCACCTTTCTCTCCTTCAATATCTCTCTATCTACATCTCTTCATGCCTTTCTCGGTCTTTGTTTCTCCACTCTACTCTATAGTTTATATCTCCATCTATCTACATCTCTCCCCACCTCACCCTGTATCTCTTCATCTCTTTCTCTCCATCTCCATCTCCATCTATATTCTCCATCTATCATTCTATCTACAGTATCTCCCCATTTCTATTCATATATTTCCATCCTTTTCTTATTTCTATATTTCTCCATATCTTTCCATCTCTCCCTATAGCTATACATCTATATCTCCATATATCTATAAACTGCATCTACCCTATCATAGAGTAATCCAATGACCTACACACTCCATGTCCCCTATCATAGAGTAATCCAATGATCTACACACTCCATGTCCCCTATCATAGAGTAAAACCAATGATCTACACACTCCATGCCCCCTATCATAGAGCAATCCAATGATCTATACACTCCATGTCCCCTATCGTAGAGTAATCCAATGATCTACACACTCCATGCCCCCTATCGTAAGTAATCCAATGATCTATACACTCCATGTCCCCTATCGTAGAGTAATCCAATGATCTACACACTCCATGCCTCCTATCGTAAAGTAATCCAATGATCTATACACTCCATCCTTCCTAGCACAGAGTAATCCAATGATCTATGCACTACATGCCCCCTATCGTAGAGTAATCCAATGATCTATACACTCCATTTATCCTAATATAGAGTAATCCAATGATCTATACACACCCCCATCCTAACTATTTTAGAGCAATCCAATGATCTACACACTCCATGCCCCCTAACGTAGAGTAATCCAATGATCTGTACACTCCATGCCCCCTATCGTAGAGTAATCCAATGATCTGTACACTCCATGCCCCCTATCGTAGAGTAATCCAATGATCTGTACACTCCATGCCCCCTGTCATAGAGTAATCCGATGATCTGTACACTCCATGCCCCCTATCGTAGAGTAATCCAATGATCTGTACACTCCATGCCCCCTGTCATAGAGTAATCCAATGATCTATACACTCCATGCCCCCTATCGTAGAGTAATCCAATGATCTGTACACTCCATGCCCCCTATCATAGAGTAATCCAATGATCTGTACACTCCATGCCCCCTATTGTAGAGTAATCCAATGATCTATACACTTCATTCTGCCTATCATGGAGTAATCCAATACACCCCCATCCTGCCTATCATTCAGTAATCCAATGATCTATACACCCCCATCCTGCTTACCATGGAGTAATCCAATGATCTATACACCCCCATCCTGCCTATCATGGAGTAATCCAATGGTCTATACACTCCATCCTTCCTATCGTAGAGTAATCCAATGATCTATACACTCCATGACCCCTATTGTAGAGTAGTCCAATGATCTGTACACTCCATCCTTCTTATCATAGAGTAATCCAATGATCTATACACTCCATTCTCCCTATCATGGAGAAATCCAATGATCTACACACTCCATTCCACCCTGTGGGGGTGAGCATTACAATACCAGAGAAAATACTTTATTACATCTATTCAATAGTTGCAAAAAAAAAAAAAAACCCTGTTGATCCTGCCAGAAACCTTGTCAGCTTACAACTTCCTGTTCTCATATGTGCAGCACTCTTTTTGGTTACATTGTTCTCAGTCATATCTGAGGACGTCAGACACCCCTCCCTATGTTAAAATGAAGAACACATGCGTCCAATGTATACGGTAAGCATCAGCAAGCCAAATTTCACTTGGTGCTTCATCGACTTCAGCTACTGTGATCTCATCTTTGAGAAAGCTCCTCGGATCATAAAAATTCTGGGTAAGCTTCTAACTAATTAGGGAAAACAAGCACTTTAATTACTATAAATACCTTCTAATTGTAGCCCAAGGGAGAGTAAAAAGCCACGAAGGAGCCCTAACATGTATTTATACATCAGGCAGAGGCCGGGGACTCACTAGTGAGACTAGAATTATCACGGGCGGGCATCGTATGATCATCATTGATGGAGTCAGCAAAATAACTGAAAGGAGGCCAGCAAGCCTTGACAGAATATAGCGCACTATGAACGTTTCTGATTGTATCATATGATTATCTCCCCGAGTGGAGCCCAACTGTTCTCATCAACAGATGGTGGGAAATCAATGCTTGCCTCCCAAACTAGAATTTTTTAATCCCATTTGATAGTCTATTAAAGCGTATCTAAACCCAAGATCATAAATGTATTATGTCATAGCTTACCCGTCCATAGATGCGGTGGCTGCATTTGTTTTCTCTTTTATGATGTTTCGCCTGGTGATCCTTCCAGCAACACACTAGCTGTCCTAGTGTGACAATGCTCACTCACCATACTGTATGTAAGGCAGAACAGTGCTGTCAGCCTAGGAGGCTCTCCTGATTTGAATTAGGAACACCTCCCCTTCCCTTCTTCTCATGACATGACAAGGACACTGGAATTCTGAAGGTCAACGGGTATTTTTTAATACTTGTAGAAAATGCAAAAAAAGAAAACAAATGCAGCCATCAACTTCTAAGGACTGGTAAGATGCAATATAATACTAAAATAAATGATGTTGGTGCTCAAGGGATTAGACATACCCTTCAACCATCCCGGATTCCCTCAGTATTTCAGCACAATCCTGGAGTCCCACAGATCCGGGACACTTGTTCCAGCACCCAGCTTCAACTTTTTGCAGAAATTGTCTGGCCGAGTGATCATCTGCCCCATAGTAGGTGCATAGTCCCAGCAGCAGGAGGCAGGCAGGGCTGTGGATAAGGGGATACCACCCATCCTCCTGTACGGGGCCCAGGCCAGCAGGGGGGCCCAGGCAGCTGGGTGAATCGGATGTGGGCAGGGATGGTGATGGGTGCGGCGGTAGGGCTATTACTGGAACCAATCCCCTGTATGGCTCTCTCTACAGCAGCTGGAAACTGGCTTCTCTTCCTCTCCCACTGGTTCCAGTAATAGCCACACACCCAAAAACCTTTCCTGTGTACCATCTGTTTCCCCCTGCTGTCCAGGCCCCCCTGTGTGCCCCCACCCTGGCAGTGCTGCCGGCTTCCCTCCTCTTCTTACCACTAGCAGCTGCAAGCACACAATAGGATCCTTCAAGGTGGAGAGTGGGGGGGAAAGGTCCAGTAAATATGTCACATTTATGTCAATATTTATGTCAACATTTACCAGCCCCTTCCTTTCCTGAATTAACACAATGAGTGATTGGTACTGATCACTCGCTGTGTTCATAACTGAAGCATAGTAAACTGTTTTTTTTTTGGGGGGGAGGGGGCTGTCAGGTTGGCTGTATGGGGCTCCATGGCTTCTTACAGCAGCCCTAGAGGCAGGACACTCTACAGTACAAGGTCAGTGCTTTACCCCCACTGATCGTCAAAGTCATCAAGGTCAGTGCTTTACCCCAACTGCACTGACCACTAATTCCCTGAATACCAGACCCCCACTGACTGTTTTTTTCCCCTACTTCTTGTTTACAGGGGCTAGTACAAGTACCTCTCCAACACAAAGGAACACGTCCAGTTGAAGGTAATCAACTACTCTTGGATACCTCAGACAGATATAAAATGATTTTATTTAGTAGTGTAATAGAAGGCTAGACCCCATGTCTGATATTTAAGGGAAATCTCTCTAATGAAGGCCTGGACAGCTCTTAAAACTCAACAGAACATCTAAGCTGTCCCCACTCCATCTAGACTTTAAATGCCTCTCCTCAGTGGAGAATACATTCAGTTGAGTCCATCCTTGTTCATAGCTGAGATCCTCCATGTCTCATAATTAAGTGATGTCCTTCTTATGAATCATTTATATAAGTGAGTTTTAATTATGTGTTGTCCTTCTTTATGGACCATTTATATAAGTGAGTTTTAGTCTCCTTTGTAGGCTTCTGTTGATTGGTTGTACCATTGAAGATCTTCTTTGTTGGTGGGACACAGAAGCCCAAGATGGGAGAGTTGGCCAACATTTCTCAATGGACACAATGGACTTTGAGAAGCATTAAATACCAAGATGGTGAAGTAGTACCTTGTTGGGTTATCACTGCTCTGTTAGGCTACCTGGTTGAGGAATAATATATAGGTCGGTTGGGCTACTTACCACATCAATGAGCTGGGCTATAGATAGTCCAAAGCGCACTAGAACGGCATCAGAGATGTTGGCCACGGGACGGGACCACTTGTTATACCCCAGAAAAAGCTTCTTCAGCAGTCGCTCTTCAGCGTGGGCCCGGGTCTCAGTGTGACAGAAGACTGGAAGAAAAAAAAAGATAGCGGTTGGTGTACAGAATTTCAGTAATCCAACATCAGTTATAATAATCCTAAAGCTGAGCTCCAGGTAAACAGCTAAATACACATATGTAAACTGTGCTATGAGGATTTGTAATTCTTTCTGGCCATTTGTATGATTCATGGATCAAACAGCACAGTCAGGAGGGTGACATAACATTTGTTGTTGTAGGTAAGGGATACAGTGGTGTCACTTCTCCACCCATAGCATGCTGATTGGACAACAAAAGACAAGCAACATTCTGAAAAGCCATGAGCTCTCCTCACTCTGCTCTCTCCTTCTGTCCACATAAGGATAGCCAAAAATGCCTTACTGTGCCTGTGAAGGGACCCTGTCACCAGACTGTCCATTGTAACAACAATCTTCCCATAATGTTATATGTACATTAAACATATTTAAAGCCAAACTCTGGGATAAGTAACTATTGTCCAAATCCATTCATTGTGTGTATTCTTCTTGAATCATGATGAGCTTTGAGTATTTCTTCCAGATCTGTGCAGTAATCCAGTGTGACTTTTTCTTCCTGTAATAAAGACCAATCACTGCTGCTTTCTCCCCTTGTAAAGGGTGACTGGTCCTGTCTCCGCCCCCTCCGGTAGTTTTCTGTAGGCAGCCTGTAGTGGATGGAGCCTGCTGGACCCTTCCCACAGCTCTGCTCTCTCTCCTTATGCAGAGTGACTGGTCTTGTCTCCGCCCAGTCTGGTAGTGGGTGGAACCTGCTGGGCCCTTCCCACAGCTCTGCTCTCTCTCCTTGTGCAGGGTGACTGGTCTTGTCTCCGCCCAGTCTGGTAGTGGGTGGAACCTGCTGGGCCCTTCCCACAGCTCTGCTCTCTCTCCTTGTGCAGGATGACTGGTCTTGTCTCCGCCCAGTCTGGTAGTGGGTGGAACCTGCTGGGCCCTTCCCACAGCTCTGCTCTCTCTTCTTGTGCAGGATGACTGGTCTTGTCTCCGCCCAGTCCTGTAGTGGGTGGAACCTGCTGGGCCCTTCCCACAGCTCTGCTCTTTCTCCTTGTGCAGGGTGACTGGTCTTGTCTCCGCCCAGTCCTGTAGTGGGTGGAACCTGCTGGGCTCCTCCCACAGCTCTGGTCACTGCATAGCACAGTGATGACCCCACTACTGCTTTTATATGGTAATATCTAGGTTTCTAAAGGCATTTGGTGCACACAAAGTAGGTGTATATCTTCTGAGGCTATTAAGGAATACAGTTTTCATTCCTGGAGTTCAGCTATAAGCAGGGGCGGACTGAAAACTCATGGGGCCCCCGGGCAATAGGGGATCATGGGGCCCGTGTCCTTGTCCAAACTCAAAAAAGCCTATGAAAAAGGTATCTCATGGGGCCCCCTACTGACCTGGGCCCTCGGGCACTGCCCAAGTTTCCAAATGGTCAGTCCGCCCCTGGCTATAAGTCATGTTATTTGTGTAGACATCTAAAAACCTTGAGGCTGCTGCTGGGGGGGTCACCATCTTGGATGTGAACTCAGCAGCCCCAGCAGACACAGAGGTGTCCTTCAAGTAGAACTCTATAGTATTCCCATTGGCCCATTCATTTAGAGGCACACTACAAATCAATAAACAAAAAAAACTTATGGAAAGGAAAAAGACAAATACTTATTTTTATCAGCATTTGTAGGCAAACTTTTAAAGGGTGACAAGGTCTCTTTAAGGTCTCCTTCACACTGCTGCAGTTTACAGTGATGTGAGGCAGTGGTGATCTAACTGGTTCCATTCTAGTTGAGGAAGCCATTGCAGCACAGGGCTCTCTATTTTCTCCTATGGCTTTTCTTGGTTGATCCCCCATCACCACTCCACCAGTATGGGTGTGGCCCACTGCATGGAAGCTCTCCAGCACCCGTCGCAGCGTGAATGAAGCCTTAATTGCTGTGAACGGCTCCCTATTCTGTGAATGGATGTAGCAGACTCTTGTGGGAAGGAGGTGTGAGCTGTGGAGTAATTTTTATTCCAACAACTACGAAACTGTTAACACATTGTGTAAATACATTAGAATATATTTTCACAATTCAGAATTAGAATGTGAATGCGTAATTCCCACAGCGGAGATACAATCCAGAGACGCAGCGTGTAAAGTGAACAAAGACATCGCCATAGTCACAGTCACCGCAGGACAATGCTGAAGGTGCTGTACAAAAACTTGCCCATGGCTATAAATCCTCACTGACCCACCTTCCTGTGAAATCCTAGATTTTATGTAAAAGCTGGTGGGCCAAGACATCGTAGCTTTGAAACAAGTCAAGATTTTAAATTCTGGCCTCCTAAGAAGTTAAAATGTGCTGGAAGTGGCTGCTTAGCGAACGTCACCTATGGCAGTATATCCCTACCTCATCCTTCAAGTACCCCTTAAAGGCCATGCTTTGGGAATTTCCCTTAGATATAATAGCCATCCTAAATGCCAAGCCATGGACATCAATCCAAACATGGAGACCTGGAGACCTAACACATCAAAGTTTAAAAGTTCCCAACCTTAATCTTCAAGTACCCCAGGTCATGTTTACAGGATTTCTCAGGTGCTTTAAATCAATCCATGGCTTAGCTTTTATGATGACTATTTTATCTAAGGGAAATTCCGAAGCATGGCCTCCTAAGGAATGATGGTTGGATACACTGTCATAGGCAACGTACGCTGTGCCGCCACATTCAGCACATTTATGATGGAATATTCTCAGGGGAAAGTTAACCATCTAAGGAATTAAGTCATATACTCCACATACAGGTGCATCTCAAATTAGAATATCATCAAAAAGTTAATTTATTTTAGTACTTCAATTCAAAAAGTGAAACTCAAATATTGACTCATATAGTGACTGTGTGTAGCTTTTAACTGTGGAAGGAGTGCAGGTCACCATAAGCATTGAGATCCCATGGGACATTCCTTGTTATGTGCAGTGCAGCCAGAAGTGAGGAGTCCTCAGGTTGTTCAGTTCTACAATTTATCAGGGTATCCCATGCTCCCTATACCTATCCAAGTGCATTTTCCCAATAAAACCCAAAAAGAAACCCCTAGACCAGGGGTCTCCAAACTTTGTAAACAAAATGTTTACTGTCCCTCAGACTTTAGGGAGGCCAGATTATTGCCAGTGGGGGTATAAAATGATTTGGGTCCAGCATCAATGAGAATAAACATGGCCTCAGTGCTTGTGGTCAGTAGGAGGATTAGTGTCCCATCATTGGCATAAGTGGGCGCAATAGTGCCCCATCGTACACGTTAGTGGGAGGAATAGTGCTTCATCGTTGGTGTCACTGGGAGGAATAGTGCCCCATCGTTGGAGTCAGTGGGAGGAATAGTGCCCCATCGTTGGCGTCAGTGGGAGGAATAGGGCCCCATCGTTGGCGTCAGTGGGAGGAATAGGGCCCCATCGTTGGCGTCAGTGGGAGGAATAGGGCCCCATCGTTGGCGTCAGTGGGAGGAATAGGCCCCATCGTTGGCGTCAGTGGGAGGAATAGGGCCCCATCGTTGGCGTCAGTGGGAGGAATAGGGCCCCATCGTTGGCGTCAGTGGGAGGAATAGTGCCCCATCGTTGGCGTCAGTGGGAGGAATAGGGCCCCATCGTTGGCGTCAGTGGGAGGAATAGGGCCCCATCGTTGGCGTCAGTGGGAGGAATAGGGCCCCATCGTTGGCGTCAGTGGGAGGAATAGGGCCCCATCGTTGGCGTCAGTGGGAGGAATAGGGCCCCATCGTTGGCATCAGTGGGAGGAATAGGGCCCCATCGTTGGCGTCAGTGGGAGGAATAGGGCCCCATCGTATGCGTCAGTGGGAGGAATAGGGCCCCATCGTTGGCGTCAGTGGGAGGAATAGTGCCTTATATCATTGGGAAGAATAGTTCCCCAAGGGCCAGATAAAAGCTAGCAAAGGGCCACATCTGGCCCTCGGGCCGCAGTTTGGAGACCCCTGCTCTAGCCTGTTCTTTGGAGAAAGTGGAAGAGTGCATAAAATGCTGTGTGCAGTATTTGCCTTTAGCAATGAAAAATTGTTTCAGAACGTACTTTGAGATGAAAGAGACGCCAACAAGACCATCGAATCTCAGGGACCTGTAGTGTGAGAGGCGACTGCAGGTCAGGCATTGCTGAGGATTGGACTAGACCTGAGACCACTATTTCTGTAACCCACCAAGCTCAATTCATACAACACACCAGGACCAAATGACACTTATTTTGTAGAAACGTGACAGTTATTTTCAGTTGACCTCACTTGGCTAAAATAAAGAAAACCATGTGTTAGAGCTTTGTGAATTGGGCCTATTGTCTATAACTAAAGTTAGTTGTTACTTTCAGGATGGACTGACCATTCGGGAACTTGGCCCGGGGTCAGTAGGGGGCCCCATGAAATGCCCCTGGTACCTTTTTATAGGCTTTTTTTGAGTGTGGGCAAGGACACAGGGGCCTCATGATCCCCTATTGCCCGGGGGCCCCATGAGTTGTCAGTCCATCCCTGGTTACTTTTTGATCTTTTTAACCCTGTGTGTGTTATTTGCCATCAGCACTATATCGGGAGGTCTAAGATGAACTCTTGTGTAATATTAATATATTGGCGTAGTCAGGCTATTAATAAACCCCCATGACATACAAGCTGGCCCTTCTTCTCCATCAGAGTGCTGGGATAGCGGGAATCTAACACAAAGACAGATGGCTGGTACATATACTAGCACTATTTATTTCTCTATTTATTTATTTTAGTGAAAGCGTATGTTTGGTCAAAACTTTTCTCATTTCGTTTTTGATAAGGTAACTTTTTCGCAGTCGCACTGGGGAGACTTCCCTTTACTTCCGGTCATGAGGACACAACAGGTATTGAGAAACTTCCCCTGAAGTCTGGTGAACTACCACCAGAACAAATGGAAAGGGTGAATCTCCCCAACTGGGATCCAGATGGTAATAAAAACATTTCATAGAGAAGCGCAGAGACCTGGTGATGACATCATTGGACCGAAAATAAGGTAGGCAATGAAAATGGAAAGGCTTCATTTAAAAATGTCATCGGGGGGGGGGGAGGTAAG